TCAAAAAGTTGCAAATAGAAATACCATTAGACCTAGCAGTTACCCTAATGAAACCAGAACTGCCAACAAGCAGATATATGCACACCCATGTTTATTGCGGCTTTGTTTACAATAGAAAAGAGCTGGAAACAACCCAAGTGCCCGTCAATAAACGAATGGCTAGAGAAGCTGTGGTATATTCACACAATGGAATACTATGCAGCATTGAAAAACAAGGAACTCATGAAATATTATGCAAAATGGGTGACCCAGGAGGATATTATGCTGAGTGAAATATCTCAGTCACAAAAGGACAAATATTGCATAGGGCCACTGTGGTAAAACAGGACTGACATGGGGATAGGAAGACAGAAAAGGAGGAGAGGAATGATGTATATTGCATTGAAACAGATAAGGGAGAGAACTGTTTTAAAGGGACATATGAATGGGTATTCTTGTCATTACAGAAGTCCAGAGTAAAGGTTGCATAGTGAAGTGAACTTGGGGGGAGAGATTGCATGACAATGAAAGAGCTTTTCTTTTTCTTTTCAAGGAGAAGAGTGAATTGGAGGGAGATGGTGGGTAGGGAGAAAAGTGCAACAATGAATGACTGGAAACCCTAAATCTCTGTAAACTTTCAATAAAATTAATTTTTTAAAAAGAAATCAAGAAAATAATCTACAATAGCCTCCAAATTGATAAAACCATCTCAATAGTTTGCAAACTGATAAAATAGTTAGGATATAACATAACCAGGAGCATAAAATACACACACAAAAATTTCTAAAACATTACAACAAGAGACTAAAAGCTGTCTTAAAAAGTGAAAGACATGTTAGGCTCATGAACTAGAAAACTTAATATAGTAAAAATGACAATCTTCCTAAGGAATCTCCAAATTGAATTCAATTCTAATATAAATCACAATATTCTTTATTGTAATGGAAACCTATTGGCTAACTTCTCATTTAAAAAAAAAAAAAGCCCAAGTATGCCAACTGGCACATACAGACACACAAACAAAGCAGGATATCTTACACTTCCCAATATTAAAAGATATGTCATCGTCGTCATTGTTGTTATTGATTGCCTTCAAGTCAAGCACGACTCATAACAACCCAATGCACAAAAGGTCTGAAGCCCTTCTACAACTATTGACATTTATCAACGTTCATAAGCTTTCCGAAAGCATGTTATTTAGGAAGTGGATGCCACTCCTGCTTCCAAACCTGTTATAGTATGTTATTGTTTTTTTATGACATTGAATCACTTGCTATGTATAGTGACCCTGTGTACAGCAGATAGTGCCTATAAAAGAGTCTGGTACCAGCTGAATGACAGACACAGAGATTGTTGTTAAGTGCCTTCTAGCCACTTATGCCTCATAGCAATCCTAAAAACAACAGATCTGCACTTTGCCCTATCCCATGCCACCCTCATGATCTCAGATGTGCTTGAATCCATGGCGACAGTCACCGTGTCAATTCATTCATTGAGGATCATCCTCTTTTTTTCTGACTCCCCACCTTTCCCAGAATAATGTCTTTTCCCCTCCAGACAACATGCCAACATAGATTATTAGAATATAATTGAGATACTCAGTCATCTATGGACAACTAATTTTTAACAATCAAAATCCATTCAAAGGGGCAGAAATAATTTCTTTATAAATAGTGCAGGCATAATTGGATATTCACATAGAAAAAAACGAAACAGAATCCATAATTCACATCATATGCAAAATTAACTGAAAATGGATCAAGACCTAAATGTTAATTAAAACCATAAATCCCTGGAAGATAACAGCGGGAGAAAACTATTGGACCTAATTGTTTCTAAAAACAGTATAACAAATTTGAAAATAAATAAATATAAGGAAAAAAATAGCTAAATATGACCTTATAAAAATTTAAAATGTATTTTTACCAAAATCCCTTAGTGTTGTTCTAATTAGGTGCTTTCTGTTTCAAACTGACTCATCACTGATCCTCTAGTGGACTTTCAGTGGTTGTACATTGCACAAGACGAGACTGCCCATCTTTCTCCCATGGAACAGCTAGCAGATTTGAACTTCGTGCCTTTGGATTGGCAGCACAACAGACAACCTGTAGATGGTGATAACACCTTTGGATATTACTTATCTGAAGAGGGGCTAATCTTTAAAATCTACATAATATAATAACAAATGAACAACTAAACAACTCCAGCTACAGAATGGACAAAGATATAAACATCACCTTCACTTAAGAAGGCATCAAAGCAGCCAAAAACATACAAAAATATATTCATATCCATTAGTCATATGTGTGATTGTTATGTACTGTTGAGTTGGAACCAACTCCTAGTTGACCCGACAGTGAGTTTTCAGAGGCTGAACACCACATAGGAGGAGACTGTACATCTTTCTCTCAAGGA